AACAAAACACGTAATGATAAATAGATCGCTGGATACACACCACAGTTAAGGATTTATTCTACATCTCTGGGGAATCCAAAATGGAATGAGGACGAGCAACTTCTTGGGAATTTTTCGTGGGCGTTCGGTCCCGGATATTTTGGGCTTCGTTTCTCTCTTTTTGACTGTCTATACTCATCATGAATTTGGCTTCATACTCCCTATACTCATCATGAATTTGGCTTCATACTCCCTATACTTATCATGGATTTGGCTTCATACTCCCTATACTTATCATGGATTTGGCCTCATACTCCCTATACTTATCATGGATTTGGCCTCATACTCCCTATACTCATCATGAATTTGGCCTCATACTCCCTATACTCATCATGGATTTGGTCAGGTCCACAATATGTGGATCCATGAAGATTATGGGAGAAAGTTCCTCTTAGTGTCTACACAGAAGAGAGTGATAAAGTACAATAATAATAATAATAATAATATACTCGCATTTATTTAATCAATTATTTAAGTGACGAGTATAAAAAGTATTGTTTAGATTTTCACCAAAGATTCCTTACGAAAAAAAGGCAATTCCACTTGGTTTTACACTTTTAAATTTTCATTTTCTTATCTTTAATCTTTATGTATAACACTATAAAATGTATAATCTATAATAATTTACTGTCCAAAAACAATATGTAAAAGCATGAACAGTTGAACTGTTTCTAAAGAGAACTGCTTCTATAGTCCAACATTTACAAAAGTTATTTTCTTACCTAAAAAAAACGCTTCTCATACGATAAAGAACATTGTAAATATACCTTTTATATTAATTGCAACCTTGTACTGTACTACACAGTAAGATACGTGGTAAGTTCATTAATAGATGATTAATAGCTAATCGTTCAACAATACACGTTAATTATGGCTAACATTAATGGGTTATCAAATAGATAAATTCTTTGAAGGATTCTGGAAGGTACACCACGAGTTTTCTTGTGTCTCCGGTTGTGGCTTGTCAATTTGAATCCAGATATATGACCGTCACTCCATCCTTTCAACGTTCCAATTGTCGACGAAAAGTTGGAAAACCAGGCCCTGTACACAAGAGAATTATTGATTTAAAAATAAATTGGAGCAAAGCAATGTCTACCAAAATCCTCACAGGGGATGACATCACGTTGTTTGTTCATTCGATATCGTTCCAATCCAGACATCGTCGTCACTACCAAACGTATCTATTTTACCAACATCACAGAGATAAAGTCTTTCTTTTACTTCTTCCACATTCGAAAACATATCGGGAATCAGTCTCTATATTGAATTTCGATTCATCTCTAAAGAGAACACTGACCTATTGGTATGAAGTCCAATATTCTGCAGTTTAAACGATCTCTCCTTAGTAATGAATTGGGGTGGATGTAACTTTTTATATAATAAACTTTACTTCCTATCTTTATTAAAACTCTGATGTACCGTATTGTATGTATGACCAAAATCAATTGTCTCAGATAACAGAGGAAGGAACCTTTCATGCAATAAGCTATGATAAACACAATGGTTCTAATTGCTACGAGCTCTATTGGGCCATGTTTTACTTGCCAAAAATTCGAAGAAATTTGATGCAAAATACCACGAAATCAGCTTAATAAAACGTCTTCTTATCTGAACGAAAGAATTGAATAATAACAATAGCAAAAGAAAGAAATTTCCACTTTTTCTTTCCTTATGATCCGAAACTAATTCGATTTTGAAACGAATTTAGCAGATGAAATCCGAATGCATTAACCTTCTTTAGAAAGGAATTTCGAGTTTTTCCAATAATAAAAATAGAGAAAGGACGAAAACGTTCGTGTCTTCCTTTACATTTTCCAAACAATTTATTCTTACAAAGGGTTTTAACGTGGAAAAAAAAAAGAAAACCGACCACTTTGACACCAGAAATGGAGAAAATCTGAGACGATTCCACTTTGAAAGATGTCAATATAACGGAGAAAACACAAAGAAATTCCCAATTCTAATAGGTAAGAGGAATCGATATAGTAAGATAAAAAGTATTCACATATTTTATATGTATATTTATAAACTTATAAATAGTATTAAACTATTTAATATTTAAATAAATTCTGAAGAATATAAGAAAAGAATTTCCTAAATATTCTTAGATTAAGTTAATATATTCTGTTTTTAAATTACTTTAAGATAGGGAAGGAGAAAATACAATCTTGTCACTTTGCCATCGATCCTTCATTCATTATGCAGAATATAAGCAAAGTTTAGAAAATATTAATCATATTTTAAGTTAGGGGCTTATAGATTTTTAAAAATGGCCCTTAAATGGTGTATATATGAGGTTACTAGTTGTATGAATGAAGAATAAACACTTAGATATTGTACGCATCTGTACGAAGGTCTTCTTCTGGTTACATTAATATTAAATATTATTGCAATGGATACTGTCCAGTTGCTTGAAAACTCTTCAATCCTTTAGGAATTTCACATAAGTTTTCTGTGTATAATTTATGAATAAATAATTGAATGTTAAATTTGACTGCAGTGTAATATTCGGCATTGAAAATACTTTAAAACGATGTGCTACAAGATATGTATTACCATTTAAAATTTTAAATTTACAACCGTTTTTGAACTTTAACCTTTGAACTTCACAACGATAAAAGTTTGAATTATGCAGTGTTTTTATGTCTATTTATATACTTTAATATACTCAAAGTTTCAAACTTCTACACTGATATATAGGCCTGGTATTTTGTGTGTGTGTGGGTGTGTGGGTGTGTGGGTCGGCGCTGCCCATAATTCAGATAACTAAGTATAATAAATAATTTAAACCAGTTTGGAACAGTTGCACGTGTTATTTTCCATGATTCGGTCACTTCACATGTATGCAAATGACTGTGTCACTTTGTGTTTATGACAGGCGTGTGACGTATAAATCAAAAATTAGTTTACGTCAGTGAGTGTATATTTTGTAAAGTTAACAGAATGAATTACTCGAGGGAAATTACCATAAATTGAAGAAAGAATTCACTTTCTGAAGTGGTTTATGAGTTAAAGATTCGAAGAAATGGGGAGAAGTGAATGACTAGAACAAAACACCAAAAAAATATAGTAATTGAAAGTTTTCAGGAACGTATTAAAAGAATGCCATAAAAGAAATGTATACACTAATCTCTAAATAACCCTTAATAATTTATGGAGCTGATAAATAAATCGATTGATCTATCGGGGGTCACTAACGACACGAGTGCCTACTCTCGAATTATGAGGGGCAACACGAACGTATTGAGAATATCACGTGGTACTAAGTCGTTCGGTGGAACCAGACACGTGTCACTCAACACGTTCGTGTTGCACCCAAGTTAGGAATCCCTACTATGAGCCATTTACTGGAGTTCCTGCAGAAGAGTTTCTTTAATGTTAATTCAACTTTATGTAGTTTAAAGTGTTTAAAAGGGTACAATTCGCATGCCCTTTGCCGAAAATGTCTGAAATTTTGCAGAGAGGTTTGGATATTAGAGGCATTGATACTGCTGATTTTTGGTAGTTGAAAGTCGAGCGGAGGGGAGATAGAAGAGGTTGTATGAATTATAACGAGTAGGGTCTAATTCGATTTATGCAAATTACACCCTATTTTGGAGCGACATTTCGCGTGTTGCAAGAATAAAATTCAATAAAGAACGGTGGGGGGAAATTGTAATTTGATCAAAATGTATAATTTTTTTTTTTCTTTTAAAAGAGCGATTTTCTTACAACTAAATCTAATTTATCGATTCGTTGTAACACTAAGTGCGATACGTGACTATTTGCATTAACTTTCCTAATCGATTTTTAAAGCATTAAATGTCACGAATAAATTATTTTATAATAATAGACTACAATTAAAAATACTTCCATACAGAAGTATTATTTAAAACAATGATTTTTAAGTGTTATTTTCACTTCAAATTGTAAAAAAAAAGGAAGGGAGAGTATAAGCTTTGTGTGAAGCTTTCAAATAATACTTGCAGGTGTTAGACGATTTTCCGCTTGTTTTATTAATCATTAACAAAAGAAAAACGTTAAGGACACGCGTATTAAAACAGGGAGATAAAGATAAGTAAACTGTCAAGAGGGCATTAAAGAGGGCCACGTTAGCGACGTTACTCACAAAAATTCGAAATAACGCTTTCTTAAATCGCGACACACTGATAACGTGTCAATAAAACTTGTAAATGGATCTTCCCTCATAAATATTAAACAGAGAACACTCGTTATCTGCCAATCGCCGTGTGATTTTTTTTTTTGCACTATAAATCACCTCGTAACATCTCGAGATACTTCAGTATAGCCCCACACTCGATTTCTTGGCGCTAAATCGAAGTCTGGCTATATTATCCTTCGAAGAAAGAAGAATATCGTGTGGATAAAGTTTGGAATAGTTCCAAATTTAAGAAGAGACGTAACTTGAACACGAAAATGATATCAGTATTAATGCAAAGAATACAAATTTCTAATTTCACCCCCGTGATTTAGAGGATTTTCCAGATCCTTTTATAAATTATCACAGGTTAGTAATCCAGATTAATCCCAGACTGAAGATATCGATCCTAGTCAGGAGGCCAAAAACAATTCGAGTCACCGTCAAGGTATTTTCTTTCAGGATTTCCAAGAGTTTCTACTGATAAATCCCTTCGACAATTCTTGATTTTATATACTTAAATTGAAAATAATTGCTTACAATTATATTTTTCTCTCGTTAATCCTTCCCTTTTCTATACAAACTGCTGAGAGATTAATTGTTAACAAGAGATAAACATTACGAAAAAAAAATCTTAATTAATTATTAATGAGTAAAATTATACGACTATTATAGTATTATATTAACAAGTTGACATAATGACACGTATAAAAAGAATGAAATTAAATATTAACGAGCATTACAGTCGACGTAGCACGAATGAATTAACATAGAAATATTTAGTTTGTAGCCTTAAAAAGTATAAAAACGAGTGTCTTACCAACTGTGACGACATCCTACGAGAGAGCACGTGATAGTTAAGATGCACGAGTATCCAGCTATGACGTCGACAGTGTTTTTTAATATAACACTACCGAACACGTCCGCCTTAGAAATCGTGCAGACAACTGACTGAAACTCGTGTGCTGCATGAAATATCGGCGTTGATTAGACAACCTAGCGCCGTCTGGTGAACAGAAAAATACTTTGTACACGTCACACAGGAAAGAACACGAAGTATTGTGTCGTAACGTGTTTTAAAGTTCGTATCGATTTTAAATATCACATTTCGTTTTTTTTAAGTTTATTTTCTTTTTTTGCGGTAGAGGAGGAAGGATTTCCGTCTTGTGACAAATATGTAGAGAGAGAGAGAGAGAGAGAGAGGAAGGTAATAAATCATAATGGATAAGAATAAAATATAGAGAAGAAGGGGTAATAAATAAGAGATGAGTAAATGAAGTAGAAGGAGAAAATTATCAAACGGAAGTTTTCTCCTTCCACTTTCTTCCAGAAAAAAATACGTTTGATTCAATTGAAATTCGAATTAATATTAAATTTTTTTCTCTCTTTACTTTCGTGGATGTTGTGTATAACAAAGGGAGAGTAGGCTATAGCGACAGGTTAAAAGAATGACACCCAAGAGTTTTGACTTGAGAGACCTTGAAAAGCCCAGAAATGCAGGGGTTTTTCTGTATGCATGAAGGTTTGTGTGTGAGAAGAACGATTTTGTTCTCCCAATTTAAAGTTTAATAACTCCTGTTCCTTTTGTCGAAAATTTCTGAAATTTGGAAGGGAGATTTGTGTATTCGAGGCATTGGTGCTATTAAATTTTGGTTGTTATAGGTAGAGAGATTAAGAAGTACAGTACAAGGGGGGTAATGTGTCATATCTCGAGTGGAATCGAACTTCACACTTTTTTTAATACAACTTTTAATAAAACTTATCTCTGCCCTCAAAATTGTTTATTAACTGTTGATAAACAATGAGAAAAGAGAAAAATAATTTTAGATATAAATACACTGTAGCCAAAAAATCATTTAACCGTGTTTCTATTGTGTGTAAAAACACGTTCTAAACAATTTTTGATGCCATAAATTTAGACTTTAGTATGGTTAACTGACTTTAGGGCCAGCCCATATTCGTAGAGTGTCCGTATTATAGTCCATCTAATATAATTTATATATAATAAAGCCTGTCGAATGCACTCCAATAGTAATTTTTATGTAATAAAGGAAGGAATGACAAAACATTTTCGGAAGTTTTGGCAGGAATTAATAAAATAATTCTCGTTTAATCTGTTAGGAAATTAATAAGAGGTAATTTAAGAATCTTAATTTTTTTTATTGGCTCTAATTTAATTTATTACTAAATGAAACTTTAAAAAATCAATGAAAAAACTGGAAAGGGATCTTAATTGATTTTCTTGGCATTCGAATTCCTTTAATTTTCAATTATAAATTTAGTAATAATTTAAAATTTATAAAATTTTATTATATAAGGACATAAAATTTAAGTAATAATAGAAGGTTAAGAGGTGTAATTTTTCTATTTAAAAAAAATATTTAACTGTAAATAACACTAAGACACATTAGCAAAAATGTATATGGCTCTGTTTGTTATGCGATTTTATTAAACATAATTTTTATATTATTAGGGGAGACCGGGGCAACTTCGACATGCGGGGCAAGTTTGTCAAGCGCTTTTTTTTAAAAACAAATTAAAAGGAGACTTTGGTTATAGGTTAGGCAGTTGAGTTTTATTGGTGGCTTGTTGAGTGTAGTGTTTTTATTGTTCTCCAACAAGCGTAGTTGAATTATCAAGCAAATTTTCATTTTCGTTCAATTCCATATAATATTTTTTTTCCATTTATATTGAATTGGCAGGTTTTGTTATAATTCCATGATAACGAAAGTTACTTTTCCTGTTAGAAGGATGTAACTTCAACTTATTCACGTGGCCAGATCGTGGCTTGGCATTCTGTTCTCAGGGTTGTACTTAATGTTTCGAAATCATGACTAGCGGGGTAAGATCGGCAACATAAAGCCACATTAGAAGCAAAGGATAAAAATCAAACAGATGATAAATGAAAACATGTTTGCATTTGTTATTCATGTATATATGTCTTTGAACTTGCATTTCGTTGTAATAATATTAAATGGGTGTTGGATTTGTATTTCTTTGTTTTAATAGTGAATTCCAACTTATACATTGTTAATAACATAATTTTATATACGTGCCTATCTTGCCCCATTACTGTTGCCCCTATACCAGGGGCAACTTTAATAAAAATAATTAAAATAATTACAACTTTACAAAAAGAGAGAAGTTGCCGATCTTGCCCCTATACCCGGGGCAACTTCGTCAATTTCTCTCTTCTTGTAAAGTTGTAATTATTTTAATTATTTTTATTTCCAAACTGATTTTAACCAGTTCTATAGTAAGATAACATTCCAATAGACAATATGCAAAGCTTTTTTTTCAGTTTACAGCAGTATTTATTACACAAAATGTAAGTAAAGCTTAACATGCCGATCTTGCCCCGATCTCCCCTAATTATTATAAGGATAAAGGTTTAGTTTTTGAGGGTGGAAATGAATTTCAAAAGAAAAAAAGTAATTGTTAACGTGTAAACTTTTTATTAAGTCTGACCCCACTTCAGATATGACACATGACCTTCTTTATCTCCTCAACCTTGTGGAGTTTTTTGGTATTCACTTATTTGTAGAAATTACCCCATAAATAATAAAATTATATATTTTTAAAAAGTATAAAAATATAATTGAAAATAGGAAGAGGACTTATCGTTAGAACACACAAGAGATCACCAGTCGCTGTGTTAATAAAACCATTAAACACTGGTAGTTGGTAGCGAGTTCTCGCCTCACCAACGTAGAATTTTCTGTTTTCTTCACGTTCGTAATACCTAAATAGGTGTCAATTTCCAGGATCTCTAATAAGGCATCACCCACGTTGCCATATATACAAATAAAACTAAACCAACTGAAGAAAATCTTCGTGGTTAATTAATAAAAAACCCCTGATTTTAGAAGTAACAATATAAGAAGAATAAAACTGAAAATTCTTCAACTAACGACCTCATAACAGAAGTTCTAATGTTCTCCTTTAAACTCTATTGGGGATCGTTAGGGAACGAGTCCATACAGTGTATTTTAATCACAATCGATGTTTCAAGTTATTTATGACGTTACATTTTGAGAGTCGACATCTTTATTGGATTACGTTTCATTCGATACTCTATAATATTATTACCTTTTCGAAATTCCCAGAAGAAATAAGACGACAACACAAACCACAAACCCCTCTATCGAGACACTCAAACAAGTAATAACACTCCTTGATAGGTTTATTTCCCCAATTTACTCGATAACAACCTATGAGATATGTCCTTACACGTGCTTTGTATTTCTCTTCAGAATCCAATTATATATTTATTCGAAACTCCTTGGTTTCTATTATTTCGAAACAAGCCAATTAAAAAATAACTTTAAAAGTAAATTTTTATGCAATTAAATTCCACGATTTGAGACTCGCGGTAGTTAAAGATGCCATCACAATTGCTGAAAGATACTTAAAATTTCAGGTATTCTCTACTTATTGTTAGTAATTTTTACGAAATAATATAGATTTTTTTTAAATTCTCGTCCTGTGTTATATCAGTAAATAATGAGAATCCTGTAGAGACAATAAGAAAAAAAAAAATCCAGCAACGAGTTGAGTATCTTTTACGGCAAAAAGATTTGAAATTGTGTGTGGCTTCATGTGTTGTAACATTTTATTTTAAAAATTTTTATATTATTAACTATTATAAGATGGCAAAAAGCTTAATTTTGAGTGTAGAGATGAGTTTGTAAAAGAAACGAACCGACTCCAATCGATATATAACAAACGACCCCTTTTATCTCCTTACCCCCTTGACTTATAACCATCAAAATTTAACAGCATCAATACCCCTTACACATAAACCACCATGCAAAATTTCAGAAAATTTTGACAAAAGGTTTAGGAGTTATTGAGCTATAAATTGGGGTAATATAATCGTGCAACCAAACACACACCAATACATACAGGGAAAAAAAACCTAACTTTTTTCTGCACTTCTCAACGTTTCAAGGTTTTCTGAGTGCAAAGGTGTAGAAATCTTGTGGGGTTATTTTTTGACAGAGGGGTCATATTTCTCCCTCTGTTATATATATTACAGTAGGGAAAGAAACAGTTTCATTTTTCTTCATCTGTGACGATAGACGAAGTGGATAGACTTATATTGAGAGAATTAAATAACCGTAAATGAAGTTATACTTGTATTTTACTTATCTTGTTTACAGAATTATATACATTTTAATTAAGAGATTTTCTAAAATCAGGGAAAGTAAAAAAAGAGGAGAGAAATCTCTTACAAACAATATAATTAATAATTTCAAAAAAAAACAAATGACGAATTTATATCCGGATTTTTCTTTGTGTAAATAATAAAGATTAATGATATTCAGCAATTGGATCCGAGAAACTTCACGAGGAAATGATTAAACTTGCACTAACAAAAGAAAAAAAAACACACATCTATATATATTACTTTTTCACAGAAATACAAATAAAATTTTACGTCAGATTATTGGAATTTAAATGAAAAACTGTAAGAAAAGGAAATAAACTTCTATACGAATGGCTACTTAAATATTGAAAAATTTCGTGTAGTCTGAAATAAAAATGTCAGTTTTGATTAATGAATATTTTGGAGAAGAATATTCCTTGCTTAAGAAGAAAAATAAAAGGCAAGACTGTGAGATTTTAGAGTATTATTATCCAATTTTTCCTTTATCTTCTCATAATCTTTCCTAAATATGTAATAACGATCGCTTTTCGTCTTTCTTCTGACGTAGAGAATATTCGCACTGTATTATGTCGCTAAACATTTACAATTTAGTAAATGGATAGTAATAGATATCAAATATATATTAATTTGTTTTCTAAAATTACTAAAAATTAAATTTGTGCAAGAATTTTGTATTACTTTGCATACAGTACGAGAATGTTATTTAGGGGAGATCGGGGCAACTTCGGCATGCGGGGCAAGTTTGTCAAGCGCTTTTTTTAAAAAACAAA